AAAAAAATTCCGAATTTGATTTACTTGACGTATTATGGCGCAATATTTTAACAATTTTGAGTTTCAAGTTTGTTTTCTCACTAGAAGTTGAGAAGAACTGCTGGTGTTTTACGTGTCCAAAATTATTTGATGTTTGAGGCTAGCACAAAGTTACTTGAAAATTATTTTAAGCAATCGACAATGTGTACTCCTTCTTCACGCCTGATGAATTTACGTAAAACATTCAAAACGTGCAGAAAATGCAGAAACAGGAAAATTCCAGAGAAAGAACAAATCTAACAATCAAAGACCACGGAGTTTGAAAAATAAAGAAGGTGACTACTCCAATATTGAATTGACGATAATTTTCTGTGTTATTGATTTCCCATTCGACTTGGACGCGTCAAAGTCTGGTGAAGTATACCCAGCGATTCATAGAAGCGGGTGCCGGGCCTAACTACAGTAGTTAAACAGCCAATAAACGAATGTAGTAGCATTAGATTGAAAGATTAATTGGAAACTTTCAAGAAGAGAACTTACCCGAATGCATTCAGAAAAAAAAATTCTAATTCAGTTGAAATCCAGGAAATGAGTATATTTTCCGCTTCCTTTAGTTTATTCAGTTCTTAGAGATACATTTTTCCGGGTAAGCAGTTCTTGAAGAAATTTCATTTCATATGAAAGTTATTTCCGGCCTTTTTTTTTTCTATGAGAGCTAATGATATTTTTTCGTCAAATTTTGTTATTCTTAGTGCGCAATTACCGGAACTGATCCTCGTTACGTTGCATCACACTGAATGCAAGAGTTTATAGTTTAACCCTGGTGTTAACATCAACAGGAAACGGCAAAACACCTCCGATTTTACTCACCTACCCAAAAGGCCAACTAAAGACGTCTTCAGAAGAGTGATCAATGATCTTGCACACGACCAGTGATAATTTTGTCATTTTAAAACATAAACGGCTGAAAGGAAATTGCGAAGTCTGACACTGGTCATATTCATTTGCCATATGGTCATAAGTAACTTTTCCAAGAGCGCAACAGTCGTAAAAATATAAAAATGATAAGGCCATTGAATTATTTTGTTGATCTATACTCTTAAAGCACTAAGTAAGCTTTACTTGTCGATTGAAGGTTGAACGCTCTAGTGATAGCGCCGCAGGGAAAATTTAAATTTGATATGTTAAGACTTGAACTGTGCATTGGGTGCGGGACAGTCGATGGGCACCGCTTCCCTTTTTCCTTTTGAACTTGAATATTAAGAATTGGCAAGGTTAGAGAGAAGTCCTGTTTCTTGTGATGTGATGGTATCATACACTGAATGCATGTACTAGTAGATGGAGTTTGAATTAAAAGTCTCATTATATTTCTCATTTTCGCCATTGTCAAGTGGATAAGTATAACATGAAATTTAGAACACACATTTAGGTAGCAAAGCACAATATGAATTTACTAAAAAGCACAGAAAGTACGATTTGCTTTTCCTTAGGCAAAGCGCCTGGCCATATGCAACTTGCATAGTGATATATGTTCCTCGAAGGACACACAACACCTAGAAGCTGCCTGAATAGTTATAAATGGCAGACAATTTGCTAGAATTTGCTTAATATAGGAAATGGAGAAGCGCAGAATATCCAAGATTGAAAGCATTGGAAAAATGGCATCATCCCCCACCCACTAGGGGTGAGAAAAGAATACGAAAGGCATCGGTCATTCGGGTGATAAAACCAATTTTATGTCCCAGCTACAACATGACCTCATTATATGCTGTGTAACTGAGATTTGTCAAGTAACTTGGTTGCAAGCCCTCTCTGCTGTGAATTACACTACATGCGACTGAGTCCCTCTTTACCTGTGCAGCCAGTTGGGCGTTCCAGATAAAACCGGTGGCGTCTCGTGAACCCTAGAAAGCGACGTAAACTTTCTGGAGTTCGTGCATCACTTGGAGACATCTTCTGTTTTTTCTCCTCACAGATTTCTATTGACCTTTGTAATATTGAGGCTGATTGGATCGCTTTCCGATTAAAGTTTTTTGGACCTTTTCTAACAGTTCACAGCAAATAAACGCATGGACTAGAAGTCTAATAAACGGGAAAATACAACACCTGTTGAAGAGCATGTGGTGGAAGGTAGCTAGGAAAAGAAAAATTCAATGAATTTAAAAGACTTTGTGTTTTTACTCTCTAACTCGCGGACTTGGTCTCCAACAACTTGAAGTAACTAAGGATTTGGTAGGCCAACATGATTACATTGATTATATGCCTGCAACGAAGGTATAGTCTAAAGAACTATAGATATCTAATGTCTTGTACTTTTGTTTTCATACTCTTGTATTGTTATGCTCTATTTATTCGTATGACTCTGGAATGTTATGGTAGGATTAACCATTCTAAATTGAAAACTCTAAAACAAACTTGAGCCTAAAATTGAAACCCATGCAATATGGGCCATCATATGAAATTAGAAGATCCTCGCAGCTAAGAACACTACTGAAACTAGTAGTTGTAAGTAGGACCTGAA